CTCAGCCCCCTGGGGGGTCAGCCACACCATTTGTACAATTTTTAATCCCTGCCTCCCAGGAATGCTTTTGATCAAATATGATTGATATCCAGTGCACAGTTCTACAGAAGAAAGCGTTTGTAGCAATATAGCCAAATTGCCCCCTTTTGGCCCCGCCCCTTAGCCCCCATGGGAGTCAGTCCCACCATTTGTACAATTTTTTATCACCACCACCTAGGGATGCTTCCAGTCAAATATGGTTGATATCCACTTCTTCGTTCCAGAGAAGAAGTCGCTTAAAGCAGTATAGCCAAATACCCTTTTTGGCCCTGCCCCTCAGCCCCCTGGGGGGTCATCCACACCATTTGTACAATTTTAAATCTCTGCCTCCCAGGAATGCTTTTGATCAAATATGATTGATATCCAGTGCACAGTTCTACAGAAGAAAGCGGTTGTAGCAATATAGCCAAATTGCCCCCTTTTGGCCCCGCCCCTAAGCCCCCTGAAGAGTCAGCCCCAACATTTGTACAATTTTTAATCACCACCACCCAGGGATGCTTCCAGTCAAATATGGTTGATATCCACCTCTTAGGTCAAGAGAAGAAGTCGCTTAAAGCAATATGGGCAAATTGACCTCTTTTGGCCCCGCCCCTCAGCCACCTGGGGGGGTCAACCCCACCATTTGTACAATTTTGAATCCCCACCACCTAGGGATGCTTCCAGTCAAATTTAGTTTAATTCCAACCAGTGGTTAAGAAGAAGAAGTTGTTTAAAGAAATTGTTGACGTACGGACGTACGGACGACGGACGCCACAGTATGGCATAAGCTCACCTTGGTCCTTCGGACCAGGTGAGCTAATAAAAAGCCTATTTGTATGTCCACACAATAGGTATACCTACCCATTCTGGTTGGTTGTACTTAAGGCACTTGCAGCACGGAGTGTCATCCGGCACAACTCGCTTCTTCTCTTCCTCAACCGCCTCTGCAAAAAAAAAAAAACGGTTAACAAACACAACTTTCTTTCATCCAACTCTTTCATAAATAAATGTTGTTATCCCTATGATGCCTTTCAGAGATATCTTTTATAAAGTGTCAATTTGTTAGAATCTCCCATAGCAGAAATTTCATTCAAAATCTTATCTTCCAGGCCATTAAAATCCAATAAACATAATGTAATAAAATTATCAAACTTGTTTCGCTTGTTAAATAAGATACAATACAATTGAAGATTTCATATCAATGGGTGTTGGATATCTGAAATTGTTTTGCTAATGAATAGCAAAAACAACATACATCCCTTTTTTCACAATAAAGGGGACAAAATTCTTACATCACTCATGTATTTCAGAAAAAAATGGCCTAATTGTTTTAAGCACAATTTTACATGTATCTATAAGTTATCACAAGTTATATATTTATAAAGCAACTATACCTGGAGTTTGACTTTTTTTACCTCTGTTATGAGGACAAACACAAAAAAAAATACAATATATTAATTAAATATCAAATCTTTGAGACCCGGACCATAATTAGTGTATCCATTTATGATAAGTTTAACTATTTGCCCATTTTGTTCTTGTTTTAAGCACAATTTTACATGTATCTATAAGTTATCACCAGTTATTTAAGGATTAACTTGAATATATTTTTCATGTTATGGAGCTATAACACAAAAAAACGGAGTTTATTTAGAGTACACTCCGGTTTTTTTTGTTATAGCTCCATAAAATGAAAAATATATTCAAGTTAATCCCTATAATTTAATCTACTACACACAATCCCTGTGGAAATCCACTTTAATTGATGGACTCCTTTTTCTTAGAAATTATTGCGCTGCTGTATCAGCCAATCAAAAGCGACGTTACAAACGGCGCCATCATTTTTTTACGTTATGGGCTGATAACATAAATTTTTAAGCCAATGAAAATGCTTGTTACAAACAAGATTAAATTATATATTTATATAGCAACTATATACAGTATATATGCTTATTTTTGTGGGTATCTGAGGGCACAAATATGCATCCAGAACATCTTTGTGAGATTTGAACTTTGCCAATCACAAGTAAAGTAAAACATATGTTTCAAATTGCATTTCCTTTTGATAAAGTATTTTTTATTCTGTTATCATTTTATTGATTTCGTTATCATTTTATTAAGTATATTTACTATTACTCTAATCCATTTCATACAAAATGGTTGAAATCATTGACAATTGGACGTCAACCTTCATCATAACTTTCAATGATAAATCAGAAGTCTCTCTTCTTATTTCTATTCGCAAATGCAAGACATTCACAGAATATATTATTTCACAACTTGTTATGCATTTGCAAATCAATTAAGGATGTCTGTTCCACTGCACTGTTTTGTTTGAATATAGAGTAACCTCCCCTTAATTTCAATCCGGATATAACTGTAGCACAGTTGATCCTGGACATTTCGTTTTACCAGGTCACTCAGTCAGAGTGATAGCATATAACAAACTGAAGTCTTGGGTTCAAAGCCCAGTCCAGCTCTGCTGAATTTCCACACCCAGAGAACTGCTGTTGATTATATTTTGTTTTATTTTTCATAAATGACATGCTAGGTATGCTGTCTTTTCAGAAATTATTTATCAAATCTATTGTCCTACCAGAATGCGTAATTGCAGTTTTTTGAAGTTGTTTGAAAATCCTTAAAACCCTCCGGAAAATAGCAAACTACATACAGTAGGTATATTACGCTTTGTTGTAAACAAATTTAATGTACATACTGTATACTCTACATACTGTATACTCTTCTATTAGTTTTACTATTTTTTCACACGACTTAAGTACAAATTCTATATAAAAAAAAATGAAGTTATAATTTTTCAGTATTTTTTTTACTTAAAACAACAATTCATTGGCCTGCGGAATTTATCAAAAGAACTTACTTATGGCTGCTTGCCTGCGTGCATTTCTCCCCTTTTGGAGTTTGAATTCCTCATCGGAATCATACTCTGACTCCATCTGAAATTCACTACTATCGCCTGGTTCCTCTTTTATCAGCTCCTCATCAGACGATCCCTCAAATATCAGAAGCTTTTTCTTCTTCTTCTGCTTGGCCATAATCTTAACACGAGCACTCCTCCTCCTCCCTGATAAATCCTCCTCCTCTACCTCTGTGGATGAGGACGAGGAAGGAGGTGCAACCTTCGGGGCTTGGGTGGGGGTGGATTTGGGAGTCACAATTGTCTTGCCCTTTGGAGTGGCTTTAGGGGTACACTCCTCTTCATCACTGTCAAATTTCTTTTTCTAAATAAAAAATAATAATGTTGGTTAATACATCAACAAAAATTCCTCCTCAAAACCATACATAATGAGTGAAGAAAACATATAACAATTTTATATATATATATAGATATTTTCATATTTCAAAATTTCAATAGGCTTGTAGGCAATGTTGCTCAAGATGTCAAGAAAGTTGTTTTTAAATTTGTATCTGATGCAGGAAAAAAAGTGAAGGTGAAACTACAGTATATGTTGCTTTTTACAGAAATACAGGTCTTGTAAAATCTTTAAACTATAGATGTGTTAAAGTTTTGTAATGATAAACAAAAAGGGACAGACAGGATGTGACGCAATAATAATTTCTGTGGAAATATTATTTTTTGGAAGTTTCGTGATAAGATAAAAACAAAAAAACATTTGTTTAATACCATGGAACAAAATTGAAGAAAAACGGTCTTAATTGGCACAGTCTCTGTTGGGAGTAAGTAGAGATGTTCAACTCATGCAAATTGTATGAACATGATTCCACTGTAATTGTGATTTTCTTTCCCTACACACCAATAAATACAACTACACTGCAAGTATAAAAAAGTTCTCATGTAATCACCTTGACTGGTCTAGAGCTTTTCCTGGTGGGTGTTACTACAGATTCAGCTTCTCTGCCACGTCTGTTTCCTTTGCCCTTCCCTCGTGGTGTGCTACCTCCACTCCGATTTACTTTACTCAGTGGAACATCATCACTATCATCGCTCTCCTCTTGGGAGGAAGATGATGAAGCAATGACTCTAGCTGGTACCCTTTTCTTGGACTTGCCCTTTGCTGTGGTTTTCTTAGCGCTCTTTAACTTCTTGGAGTCTGGCTCAGCAGATGAGGTCTCAACAGACTCCTCCCCTTGCAGTTGACGCTTGCGACATTTAGCTTGACCTTTAGCTTGACCTTTAGTAGTTGTTGTTTTTACAGTGTCATTCTCATGCTGCGATACGTCTCCATTTACCTTTCCATCCTCCTCTTTCTCATTCTCTGCCTCCTTTATTGTGCCTGTTGTATCTTTTGTATCGTTTTCATCCTCTTTATCTACTTGTTCCTCTTTAATGACGTCTTTGGCCTCTTCTTCTTCCCCGACAACCTTTTGAACCTTACTCCTATTAGCTTTTGGTGTTACTCTCCTTGCAACAGGCAGAGGAGCTTGAGGAAGAGCTACTGACTTCCTTGACCGTGAACTTCTTCGTAGCCCTCCACCATCGTCTTCATTTTTGTCTTCCATATCTTTTTCCTCACTTATCTCCTTACTTTCCTCACCTGTTTCATCCTCGTTAGCTTCCTTCATGCCCTTTTCCTCCTTAGACTCCTTCACACTTATTTCCTCTTTAGAATCCTTTGTTGAATTTTTCGAATCAATGGTTTCTTCCCCATCAGCTAGCTGGTCTTTAGGAGACTTTGCCTCTGTTGTCCCTTCACCATCAGCTACCTGGTCTTTAGGAGCCTTTGCCTCTGTTGTCCCTTCCCCATCAGCTAGCTGGTCTTTAGAAGACTTTGCCTCTGTTGTCCCTTCACCATCAGCTAGCTGGTCTTTAGAAGACTTTGCCTCTGTTGTCCCTTCACCATCAGCTAGCTTGTCTTTAGGAGACTTTGCCTCTGTTGGCCCTTCCCCATCAGCTAGCTGGTCTTTAGAAGACTTTGCCTCTGTTGTCCCTTCACCATCAGCTCGTTTGGCTTTAGGAGACTTTGCCTCTGTTGTCCCTTCACCATTAGCTACCTGGTCTTTAGGAGACTTTGCCTCTGGTTTCCCTTCACCATCAGCTACCTGGTCTTTAGGAGACTTTGCCTCTGTTGTTCCATCGGTTGTTGACGTGTCCTCAACACTTTCACTCGGTACATTATCTTGCCCTTTCATTTGATTCTCAGATTCATCAACCTGTTTGCTATCAACAGAGTCTGATTTTATTTCAACTTTGCTTTTCTCATTTTTATCTTTATCTTTGGAATCTGTAGATTTATCATTTTTTTCACCTGTTTCCTTGGAATTCTGAGATTGTTTATCAGCCTCAGCTGAAGATGAGCCTGTGGTTACTGTAAGGTCTGTTGGTTTTGGCACACCATCACTGCTAGACTTACTTTCCACCTTATCTTTGTTACCTTTACGTTCTTGGGTTTCTGCACTTGATGATGATGGAGAGTTTTCCTCTTCACTTTCCTCTGTCTTCCCTTCCTTCTCTCCTTTTGCAGAATTTTTAGTTTTAACTTGGTTTTTTGTTGATTTGTTATCACTTTTTCCATCTGTTTTTTCTTCTGTTTCTATAAATTCTTTTTCCACACTATCACAGTCTTTTTCTGATTTGTCTTTTTTGTGGTTATCTTTTTCTGTACTTTCTGTTATACATTTAGAATCAGACTTTTCCTCATCATTGTTCTTATTTTTATCAGATTGTACATTTTTTTCAGAACTTTTATCATCAGATTTATTGTCTTTCACCTCACTTTTACTATTTTCTATATCTACCCTGGTTTCCTTTTCTTTATCGAGATCTACTTTGGTTTCTTTTGTGGTATTTTTGTCTGTTTTGGTTTCTTTTGTGGTATTTTTGTCTGTTTTGTCATCTAACTCTGATGTTTCTGATTTATCTTTCACTTCACTGGTTTCACAAACACTTTCCGACCATTTATCTTCAGCTTTTAAGTCCTTTGGTTTTGTATTTTTGTCCTTGTTTTCATTCGATTCTACAGATCTAGTGGTTTTATCCTCATCTTTTACATTGTCCTTATCTTTTTCTATCACTTCTGATTTAGCACTCTCACTTTTATCCTCTGTATTTTGTTCTGTTTTCTTTTTTGTATCACTGATAGATTTATCTCCCCTGATTTTCTCCTCTATTGCCGTGTCTTCAGCCATTGTTTCCTCTTTCTTTTCTTTCTTGTCATCTTCACCTTTTGAAGGCTCTGATGTCGAGATTGTTTCTCTACTTTCCTGAGATGAATTATCTGCCACAATTCCATCTTTATTTTTTTGCTTTGAAATTTCATGACTTCCTTCTTTTTCTTCCACACTATCATCGATCTTTTCCTTTTTCACTTCAATAGCATCCTCCTCTGTTTTAGCTTCTTTTTTCACCTGTATAGTGGTCTCCTCTTTTCGAGACCTTTCATCCTCTGTCTTAACTACGACCCCGTCCACCTCATCCTCCGTTTCAGATCTGACCTTTGGTGAGCGTTCATTCTCAAGTTGTTTGTCTGGGTCCTTTTTGATAGGTGGGTTGGAGTCGAGAGAGTCTTCCGATGTTGTTTCTGATTTGATATTGGCCTTGTCTTCACTTTTGACACTGTCTCCTGATAAATTTCGAAAAATACAATAAATATTGTCAACAGCTTGACGCTATCAAATGTTAAATTTGCATTTTATAAAAATGTATCTTTGACAACAGTGATGTTTTTAAAGCTATTTTGGGATGGGATTTATCATACATGTACAAATACACCGACTGAAAAGTTTGACCAACTTAGGGTTTGAAAAAATATATGTATATATCTTACATCAAAGATGACATTTCTTACTTACATTCCTAAGAAAGCAATACAGAGAAGTTTGGTTAAATGCTTATTGTCATTAACATATTTTGGAGCTGGAAATGTACACCGTGAGGTGGTGTAATACATACCAGAGTTAGTAGTAGTGTCCTCCTCTGGTGTCTTCATACCGATACTGCTTTCAAGGTTCCCTATCAAGACTGCCAGTTCTGTTCTATTACTGTAACACATAAAAGGAAATCTGTAAAACTTTTTATCTGATCATTTTCAATTATCTAATACAGTATATTTTTAACTTGGGAACAGAATGTCTTTAATAATTGAACGAACCTTGTTTTGCTTCTTGTTTGACAAAAATTGTTAAACAAGTGCTTTTTTTTTTTGCTTTTTTTTAAATGCATGTGCTTTTGTTTCAGACAAACTGATGTTAGTAGAATTTTTTAAAATAAATTCATGTTTATGCAACACTTTTTAGGCAAATTGGTCAATTCATCTACACAATACGAATATCTCTATGATGAATACTGTAAAAATATAAAATTACCTGAACATATCAATGTAACTAATTTAGCTGGACACTAACTCCCTGTGTTTAACATTTTACATAAATACTACCAACCTGTGATTACCACTTTACCTGTACACTAACTAACTGTGATTACCACTTTACCTGTACACTACCAACCTGTGAATACCACTTTACCTGTACACTAACTCCCTGTGATTACAACTTTACCTGTACACTAACTCCCTGTGATTACCACTTTACCTGTACACTAACTCCCTGTGTTTAACACTTTACATAAATACTAACTACCTGTGATTACCACTCTACCTGTACACTAACTAACTGTGATCAACACTTTACCTGTACACTAAATACCTGTGATTACCACTTTACCTGTACACTAACTAACTGTGATTACCACTTTACCTGTACACTAACTACCTGTGATTACCACTTTACCTGTACACTAACTAACTGTGATTACCACTTTACCTGTACACTAACTACCTGTGATTACCACTTTACCTGTACACTAACTAACTGTGATTACCACTTTACCTGTACACTAACTAACTGTGATTACCACTTTACCTGTGCACTAACTAACTGTGATTACCACTTTACCTGTACACTAACTAACTGTGATTACCACTTTACCTGTGCACTAACTAACTGTGATTACCACTTTACCTGTACACTAACTAACTGTGATCAACACTTTACCTGTACACTTAACTACCTGTGATCAACACTTTACCTGTACATTAACTACCTGTGATCAACACTTTACCTGTACATTAACTACCTGTGATCAACACTTTACCTGTACACTAGCTGCCTGTGATCAACACTTTACCTGCACACTAACTACCTGTGATTCATACAGTCAATTTACCTGCACACAAACTACCTGTGATCAACACTTTACCTCACACTATCTCCCTGTGATTTACACTTTACATGAACTAGCTCAATGTGAATTAACTCTATGTGCTAAAATACTTTACCTGCACACTATCTCCCACGTCTCAGCGTCAACATCATCCTGATCTTCCCGATACACCATGAGGTTCTGTTCTTTGTCCTGTAACATATATATTCCATAAGCTTTAAAATTTCCATTGTATATAAATATATATGAATGTCAGGATTTTTCTTACGATATTTTGGAAGAACCACTTACCTTAAATTTACTTTAACAAAATTGACATCAGAAATAATTTGCTTTATTGTTTTTGCTTTTATATTAACATTATTATCACCGTATCGATTTTGTGACATCTCCCTCTCAAAAGAATGAATTATACCATTGTATTGCTAGAGAAATATTTTCTTCAACCAAATTTCTTGATCAATTTTGCATTAGTCTTTGACTGGTTACAAACACATTAACTGTAACAGTAGTAAGTTGTATATTATTGAGATGTTAAATATAGCCATTTTACAACTTTAAGAAAGTTTACTATAAAGGAGTAAAATTTCTGTAATACTTACAAGTATGTACCAATAGGCTAACCCATTCTTATCTCTGCCTATAGGCTGGAATCTCATAGCCCCTGGCTCCTCTTCATTTACCTTCTCTTTAAACTTTGTGTTGTAGTCAAACTGATTTTCTAGCAAGTTCTGGAACAACAAACAGTTTGTCGTAAAATGATAAGAAAAGTAGATGCGTGCATTTATGTTCTGTTAAGTTTTAAAGGTGCACATAATTGATTATGTATATTTTTATCATTGGCGACCAGCTAGCTATATACAGGTTACTGTGGATTTCTCTCCATCTCAATATACTAACAGTCCTATATGTTCACTTCCCTACAGTTACAAATAGGCTTCAGTCAGACTCCCACAATGTAGCAAGATAAACTGTAAACTAACATTCCTTTGTTTAACTCTAAGACATCAGAGAGCAATAGCGGAGTAAACTGATAACTCTACCTTTAACTCTCAGTCAATGACAGAAAACACAGTTCACTGCAGGTCATATGTTTGAACCCCAAGGGATATACCTGCCTGTGAATTAAAGTCTATAATGTTTACAATCTGTAGAATGGTAAATTACCTTTACAATCTGTAGAATGGTATATTACCTTTACAATCTGTAGAATGGTGTATTACCTTTACGATCTGTAGAATGGTATATTACATTTACAATCTGTAGGATGGTATATTACCTTTACAATCTGTAAAATGGTATATTACCTTTACAATCTGTAGACTGGTATATTACCTTTACAATCTGTAGAATGGTATATTACCTTTACGATCTGTAGGATGGTATATTACCTTTACAATCTGTAGAATGGTATATTACCTTTATAATATGTAGAATGTTAAATTACCTTTACGATCTGTAGAATGGTATATTACCTTTACGATCTGTAGAATGGTATATTACCTTTACGATCTGTAGAATGGTATATTACCTTTACAATCTATAGATTGGTATATTACCTTTACAATCTATAGATTGGTATATTACCTTTACGATCTGTAGAATGGTATATTACCTTTACAATCTGTAAAATGGTATATTACCTTTACAATCTGTAGGATGGTATATAACCTTTACAATCTGTAGAATGGTATATTACATTTACAATCTGTAGGATGGTATATTACCTTTACAATCTGTAAAATGGTATATTACCTTTACAATCTGTAGAATGGTAAATTACCTTTACACTCTGTAGACTGGAATATTACCTTTACGATATGTAGATTTGTATATTACCTTTACAATCTGTAGAAAGGTATATTATTTTTACGATCTGTAGAATGGTATATTACCCTTACAATCTATAGATTGGTATATTACCTTTACAATCTGTAGACTGGAATATTACCTTTACAATCTGTAGATTGGTATATTACCTTTACGATCTGTAGACTGGTATATTACCTTTACAATCTGTAGAATGGTATATTACCTTTACAATCTGTAGACTGGAATATTACCTTTACGATATGTAGATTGGTATATTACCTTTACAATCTGTAGAAAGGTATATTATTTTTACGATCTGTAGAATGGTATATTACCTTTACAATCTGTAGAATGGTATATTACCTTTACAATCTGGAGCATGGTATATTACCTTTACGATCTGTAGAATGGTATATAACCTTTACAATCTGTAGAATGGTGTATTATCTTTAGGATCTGTAGGATGGTATATTACCTTTACAATCTGTAGAATGGTATATTATCTTTACAATCTGTAGAATGGTATATTACCTTTACAATCTGTAGGATGGTATATAACCTTTACAATCTGTAGAATGGTATATTACCTTTACAACCTGTAAAATGGTATATTACCTTTACGATCTGTAGACTGGTATATTACCTTTACGATCTGTAGGATGGTATATTACCTTTACGATCTGTAGGATGGTATATCAATTACCTTTACGATCTGTAGAATGGTATATTACCTTTACAATCTGTAGAAGGGTATATTACCTTTAGAATTTTTAGTTTTGTTGATGTTTTGGAATGTTTGTAGCCAAATCTCTCCACCTCCCAGGCATCTATTTCTGAATAGGTGTAACAGTACTGAAACACAAAAAACAGGGCCACATGTCATACATAGAGGTGCAATAAACTATATATCTTGACACTTGCATTTCAGATAAACATACAAGACTTTTATTTTCTTAAAATATTAAAACCTAGTTAAAAGTGGATATATCCCTGTTAATACATACTTGCCAGCTCTCCCTATTTTGGAGGGAGACTCTAGAGTTTGGACCCTTAAATTAAGTGTTATCAACCAGTGAGTTTGCTAAACTACTCCTATATTCTAAAATCTAATTATAATGATTTCATCAGAATGAACAACTCAAATTTTATCATTTTAAATGGTTATTTTGTCTCTAGGAGGTATTTACACACATTTTATTTATATTTTAATTCTGAGCATCAAGAATCTCCCCAATGGAAATTTCAAAAAAGTTGGCAAGTATGTTAATGGGATCACAAAAAAACTTTTTTGAAATATTTTATTCTATATCCGTGTATCTCTAGCTACCACGTGCACACCATGTACTCACCTTGACAACATATCTCTCCCATTTTTCTGTTGACACAGAACCCTTTCCTACTCGTCTCAGCAGACGCACATGAATATCTATGAGGAATGATGACACTACAAAACGATTAACACAGGTGTACAGGTAACCCAGTCATGACATCATTGAAAATGGAAATATATACAGTGTATTCAGGAATAGGAATATGAATCAAATCAAAGTAATACTCCATGATAAAGCAACACACACTGGCTTATACTTACCCCTTATATAATTATAACTCACATCTGTATCTGGAAAAATGTAACGACCCAAAAATGGTGGATTTTTAGCTTGTAGTTGTATTTATCAGAATTACCTAATTAGGTTCATATACATCTGCACATTCAACAAATCTTTGGTGTTTTGTAAAATAACAATGTCACATAAATATGTAGCGATTTAGTTTAAGTACAATTTTATGAAGAGTAAAAAGTAGATAGGTACATCACATGTATGTGTATATATATATACATTACCATGGCCAGCTAACACATGGGTTAAAGATTTCATGGTGTTCCGTAACATTTAGTGTTACATATATACATCGTTGATTTTAGCCCCAGTAAACTCGCTATCATTGTCTAGCTTGTCTTGTAAGTAGGGACTAATCCAGACACCAGCGTGGGGTAAAACTTGGGTCAAAATCATCTTTCATGTCAATTTTATTTTCAAGTGACTTTAATCTATATTCTTAGTGAATCATATTTATGAACAAGCAGATTTTTATATCTTATAGACAATTATATTTTTCAACAATATTGTCTCCCCAGGGCAAGAAAAATATTTTTAAATCCACTGGATCTTAAAATGCACTTGCCCGAAGTAGAAACTTACTGGTCCAAAATTCAAAAACTTTTTTTTCAGTAAAAGTATCACTATATATTAAATACAGACTAAGTGCATCAAGCAGAGTGTTTCAAACTTTTAAAATTATTACAGGGCAGGTAAATATTTTTTTACAGGATAAAAAAAAAAAAAAAAGACAGTTTCATTTAATTTGTTGTCATTAGGTAAATAATTCATCCATCCTGCCTCTTGTAAACGAAAACAGATTTAACCCAGCAGACTGTCTCGGACAACAATCTCTTTTTTTCAGTTTTCATTAAATAATTTAAGTTTTTCACCTTCAGTAACTACAATATTAAAATGGGGATTATTTACTATTAAATTGCTGGTGATGGATTTATTTATTTTACTTAATTTAATATTTGTATTTAATGTTTAGTTTAAAATTCCTGAAATCCGACTCCAGATCTGTCTGCTTGTCATTATTAGTCACACCATTGCAACTTCCTCTTCGATAAACAGAGACATTTTTCAGGTAAAAATGATGTCCGTCAGTTGTAACTAGTACATCTAATTATTCAAATCAATAAGTAAGTAAATATCTTTATCTATCTCTTTTACCTATTTTATTTTAAGTTTCAGTTATTTTCACCAGGCTTAAATTCTCAAAAATTGTCTGAATTGATAGAAAGACCGCTGGTAACGTTAATCTACCAGCAATGTTTTCTTTTTTTGTTTGTTTGTTTCATAATTGTTAAAGTATATCTCACCAAACTACAGTCAATTCATGCAAGACTTTTAAACCATCTAATTTTGGGCCATCGGGAGGGGGATATGTCGCACCCTGCTCCTAAATATACAGTTTAATTTACCACTCAAAGTATTCAATGTATTGTAAACCGTTACAGAATTAGAAAAAACAAGGTTCTAGATGCCAATATTTTTGCTAAGAATCTAATTATTAGTACTATAAACGTACTAATTTTGGCATACCCAAATTTAATCAAATTATCTTTTTTTATCATAGATTAAAAATATACTGAAAATTCTCCGAAAATATGCAACAGAGAAAATCTAGAATTATCTTAAAAGTATTTTCAAGGAGCACTATTTGACAAAATTGAATGGCATGGTTAAGCTATTCTACACTATAAATTAATGTGGGTGAACTAAATATTTAGTTCACTCAAAAACTTGTAAAACTCAATATGACTTGATGAAAAAAAAATGTTTACAACTTTTCAGGCTAAAAGCATTTGGCTGAAATCAGACAATATAGATTATAAACCTCTTGCAAAACTTGTCATGCATTTTACATTTACAAATATGCATATATACATGTACATGTACAAGGTAAATGGATTTGCACTATATGCAGATTATAAGACCCCACTTCTCTACAGAGTTATAATTGAATGCCCGTGTGACAGGTATATTATAACTAGTATGTACACATTAAGTAAAAACATTGCTTTTGATAATTAGTTAGGTTGGTAATTAACAAAGGGGGGTAACTGTGGTTTGTTGATATTTCTTTTATCTAATGTGTGAGTGGCTTTGTAATTAAAACATAAACATTTGCATATTTTAGAATTATTATCTCATTATCATTACTGGCAGTCATGGTATATTATTTAAAATGTGTCGGTATTACTATAATGGCGCTAATATATTATAAATGCAATACCTACTAAAACCATTTTGGTTGTGTTAAACGATTCGCTATTTGTTTGCTTAACTTCACCAGAACACCAACATGATGATTTTACTATACTCGCATGTTTGATAAGGATATGAAAAATCGAGAAGACAGCAATCGGTATGAGTGCAATAATTCAAATGTTTAGTAGATTATGCAACATACTGAGTAATAAGTATTGAAATATAAGCAAGATGGAATATAGTCGATTCGAAAAAATCGAAAATTTCAATCCAAAACAATGAAAACGCTATGTCGGCCTCAATTATTTCTAAAGTATAACGCATTTATGCAAGGATCGTGGCATACCATGCTTCGTGTCCTCAACCCAATTCTGCAGATCTATATGTGAAGTCTCTGCAATTCCCAATCGCTCGCCATATTTGTCGAGAAACGAGCAAATAACAGCGAAGTTTGGATCACTGTGGCAGATCGCTTCTGATGCAGCCGCCATCTTGATTATGCTAATGATTAGAAATAGAAATAACTTTTGGTAAAAAAGCTGTATTATAATTATTGAAATAACTCAACGGTCGTATAAATTTGTTGCATTAACATTTGTTTAATCCATTAAGGTAAGTATGTATTGTTTATACATAAAAAATTGATTCTTACATCTCGCAAGATACGAAACTAAACTGTGAATACAAAGCTAGGCGATATTAACTACCTTCACCTTTGCTGTAAACAAAAGCACCGACTATAGGCCGTTTCAGTAATCTTCAATATAGCAGAGTATCATTTGTTTTTGTATACATGTCATTCGTGCGTATCATAATAACAGAATTATAAAGAAGAGGAGAAAATGTGGATATATAAGATATGACAAACAAGTTGAACAGTAGATTTAATTCTGATGTAGATGTTTTTTTTATCAATAAGTCCATGTAAAGCTTTTGCAACATCAATCCGAAAATAAATTGTGTTTTATGAAATCCCTAACTTCGTCCAGATGTAGAAGTGCACAATGTACTAAACATCTTTTGACTAAATAAATATATGTTTTTTTAATATATGGTTAAATAAAGGATCGACTTTTTTTGTCTTTGCTGATCATGTCATGCGGGAATCGATGGAAAAAGAATATTCTTGTATCTTGTAGAGAAGCGCACAATTTTAGTTGTCTTTGGACTAATGTAAACTTTAGGAACAGGTTTTTGCATGCCACATATGATATAGATAACTTGTATTTAAGCATTTAACTGCCTTCTTTGGAAAGTTATTGTCCCATAATCCTGTGAGAATTATAGGAAAATAACTTTCCAAAGAAGGCAGTTTAATACTTATATTTCCCTTTTTAATTTTTCTTCTTCTTATATTTCCAACCTGTTATCGCATTTCAAAGTCAAATTTCACGCTGTCTGTCTAGTGACGTCACGATTACACGCGACCGTTCCCGGCAAAAAAAACAGTTCGTGGAAATAAACACAAAATCATCATTTTAATTTCAACAATTTAATCAATATATTCCACCGTGAGGAAATTCACCTTTTATACAACATAACTACATAAATTGTTGTGAGATACATTGATCAATTGGGTTTTTTAATTGGGTAGCACGGATGGGTTACCACGAGCAATTTGCGTATTTTTCTTCTTTTCTTGACGTCACTTAAGATAATAGTGACGGCGGTCAAAACGGTCATTTAGTCACGACGTGACGAAAATGTTCTTCATATCACTACACCAATGGGGATTATGTGAGAATTAAGGTCATATATCATTCTATTTTGTTTGGTAAGGTTTTATAGTAGCAATGCAGAGCAAATGGAAATATTCGAGATTATACATATAGTGCGAATTATATTAAGTGTATTCATCATTTTCGCAGAGGTTGGCTGAACTGAGAAAGGAGACTAATTAATTCTATTCTAATGCATCTATCTGCAACAAAGATAAATTGATAGACAAATATGTTTGAGAAAAAACAACAAAATATTCTCTAATTAAAAGGAGCAGTGCAACTAAGTTTGGACTACAGTATACTTCATCAAAGGCGGCATGTCTTTTTATATTGTATAATTATGTTGTGTTTGTTTCATGTTGCTCTGTTAATATGTTAAAACTAATAAGACAGACGACTAAAGTAATAAGTCATTGAACAAAATCCTGGACCTATTCCTAGATAGACCTGTCCTTTGTTGCCAAACAGTGCAAATGGGTTGAACACACGTTAATTACACAGCTTATACAGTGTGTAAAACCAACTTACCTAGCTATGATAAATTGGCTATAATTCTTCTTTCCTGTAAGTTGTTTTAATCATCAAAATATTAACTTTATGTTTCTCTTTTGAGAGAGTTCCTTGCAAAAGGCTTTACACTTTTTATAATAATGGAAAGAGAAACCGACAGACAGAAGAACAGACTTGCAGGCTAGGATATGGTCAGTTTAAACATATGTTATTGATATATAATATGACAATAGGATTAGTCAGTAAGTTTTTCCAACTGATAGATGACTTCTCCAAACATACATAACATATTTACAATTGAGGTCACGTGATGGCATGAACGATAATATACATTAAGAAACAAAAAAATTGATGTAATATATCACAGTGAAATCGAGGATTCGGG